CCTTCTCCAGCCCCCCAACCCCTTACTCACTGGCACTGGAGCCCTGGTACTGAAACATGTGGCCTGGCAGCCAGAGTGTCTCCGTGGAGGACCCAGCCTGCAGTTGCCTCAGGGCACAGTCCCGGACTGTGCCCTGCTCCACTTTTTTAAACTTCGATTTTTTTTAGACCCTTGGATATCCAGGGGTCTAATTTTTTCCCCGTGCTGAAAACTTTTTTTGTTCCTGCATGTACCTGTTGCCCTGCCTCAAAGGGGGTTGAGACAGGACAAGAGGCACATGCGCGCTCGTCTGGATGTGCCCATAGAGTCCAAACCCTCAGAAGCAGGTATTGGATTTTATAGAATCATACAGAAGGGCTGGAAGGGACCTCCAAATGTCATGCAGTCCAACCCCCCCCCGCCTGACACAGGATCATCTGTATCCAAACCATCCCATACAAACCATAATCTGAATTCTATATAAGACTACAATCAACCATGACAACACAGACCCAAACTGCCAAAGGTAAATCAGGGGAACCATGGCAGCCAATGTCCTGCTTCTATGATATGTTATCAATATATGCTCAAGAGATCTCAGATAGAGGGACATACCCCCTACAGACGAAGGCAAAACCCCCCAGAGTCTATACTAATCTGACCATGGGGTAAAATTCCTTCCTGACCCCAAATACGGTGAACAGTTGACCTTGAGTAGAGGGGCAAGACCCTCTAGCCAGGAGCTTCCAGCTTTAGTTGCAGCAGGAACACTGGCACACCCCAGTTGAAGTCCCCAGCCTTGGCTGTAGCTAGCACCCAATGTTTCTGAGGAAATTTAAAAAACATCCTGACCCAAGCTGCAGAAAATCCGGGGGGGTGGGAGGCAACCAGCAAAGCTCAGAAGCATAGAGATACCCATGGTAGAATATCCCCTACCAGTGGCTGTCCAACCTCTTCCTGAACACCACCAGTGAAGGAAAATCCACAGCTTCCTTAAGCAGTCTGTTCCACTGCCTCACTGTACTAACAATGAAGAGGTATTTCCAGATATTCAATCTAAACTTACTTTGCTGCAACTTCAAGCCATTGGTCCACATCCTCCTCTCTGCAGCAAGAGACAAAACATGCTTTCCCTCTTCTTTATGGCAACCCTTCAAGTATTTGAAGACTGATATCATGTCCCCTCTTAAGTGCCTTTTCTGTAAGCTGAACAGGCCTAGCTTCTTCAGCCTCTCCTCACATGACTTGCCTTCCGAGCCTTTAATCATCTTTGTTGCCTGCCTCTAGACCCTCTCTTGCTTTTCCACATCCTTTTTAAGATGTGGAGCCCAGAACTGCACACACTACTCCAGATGAGGCCTAACCAGCACCAAGTAGAGAGGCACTATCACCTTCCATGTCTTTCACCTAATGCTTTTATCGATGCAGCCCAAAAATCACATTTGCCTTTTGTTGAGCTGCATCACACTGCAGACTCATATTGAGTCTGTGGTCTACCAAGACTCCCAAGTCATTTTTCATAGAGCTGCCATCCATCCAGTCACCCGTTTTGTGTGGGGGGTTTTGTTATATCTCCTGACGCATAGCACCTTGCATTTGTCCACACTGAACTTCATCCTGTTAGCTCCAGCCCAACTTTCCAATCTGTCAAGATCCTTCTCATTAAGTTCACATCTTCCAACACGTTCACAATCCTTTTCAGTTTTGTACTGTCCACAAACTTGCTCAAGAAGCTTTCTCTCCCAATATCTACATCATTATTAAATATGCTGAACAGCTCCAGGCCCCGGACAGACCCCTGTGGGACTCCACTCGAAACCTCCTGCCATTGTGACACGGACCCATTAATAATTACCCTTTGCTTGTAGCTATTGAGCCAGTTATCTACCTCCTTATAGTAGGTTTATCCAGTCCAGTCCACATTTTTATCTAGTTTATCCAGTCCACATTTCTCCAATTTGTTTAAGACTGTTATAAACTAGTCAGGGGGGATCAGCAGGCACTGGGGGAGTCCCTGTTTCCCCGAGCACTGCCAGGAGTGACCAGAAATAACGGT